AAGAAACGAGATGGGTCTCTTAGAGTCTGCTTAGATTTCCGCCCATTGAACGCGATAACTATTCCGGACCATTATCCCTTGCCCCGGATAGAGGACATACTCACTAAGATAGCAGGGAACAAATACTATACATCCCTGGACTTGGCGTCAGGCTATATGCAGTTACTACTGTCACCTGAAAGCCAGGCCAAGTGCGGGTGGGCAACCCATAGGGGAATTTATCAATTTGTCTATCTCCCTTTTGGACTTAAGAACGCCGGTGCATACTTCTCTCGGGCTATGTCGCGAATTTTAGCCGGATTGGAAGAAAATTGTTTGGCTTACCTAGATGACATAGTAGTATTCGACAAAGACTTTCCGAGTCATCTCAAATCTCTTCGGAAAGTATTCCAAAGGTTTCGTGATTTCAACATAAAAGTATCCGGTAAGAAGCTCGTCGACATAGCGCGGTCGCGAGTCACCTTTTTGGGCCATGAGATCTCTGGGGATAGTTACTATCCATCTGACCGTAACATCCAGGCAATCAAAAATATGCCTCCCCCCACATCGGTCAAAGAAGTCAAGCGTTTCCTTGGGATGGCAAATTTCTTTCGCAAATTCATACCAAATTTTGCGTCTGTTGCAGCCCCACTGTATGAACTCACCAAAGATAAGGTTAAGTTCATATGGACGGATAAACAGCAGACAGCCTTCCAAGACTTGCGCGATAAATTAACGGCAAAACCCTGCCTGGCTTTCCCGCAAGATAAGGATTTCCTTATGCATACTGATGGGAGTCAAATCGCGGTAGGGGCCGCTTTGTTTCAGCAAGCGCCACATGATGCCAAATCTTTAGTCGCGGTCGGGTACTTTAGCAAAGCCCTGTCAGAGTCACAACAGAAGTGGAGTCCCACGCATATAGAGCTCTTTGCGATGATTAGTGCCTTACGGTTCTTCAAGGCCACCATCTATGGGCATCTCACAAGGATATTCTCAGATCATCGCCCTTTAACCTTTCTGCTGAAGCATAATAGGACCCATGATAATCTTATCCGTTGGGTCGTTGAGCTCCAAAGTTATAATGTTACCATCGAATATCTAAAAGGCTCTTCCAATGTAGTAGCCGACTGCCTCTCTAGATTCGTGAATCCTTCGCTTCGCTTCCAAGATAACACTCCTGAGTCTGACGATATCATCGAATTTCCTAATTGTCTCATATTACAAACTTTCCAGCCTCTTCCCGCTTGTTTAGCTCCACTTTGTGCCGCCGTTCCTATTGCTATAAGACCGTATAACGCGCTCCTCGAACAGAAAGCTGATCCGCTCTGTAATTCCATAATGATATTCTTAGAAACCAATAAATTCCCTGATTCCGTAGCTGAAGCTGACAAAGCAGCTCTACTGAAAGTAGTTGAAAGTTGCCGCTTACGTCCTAATGGCTGTTTGTATCACGTAGCCAAGTCTCCCTACAATCCACAAACCACAATTGAGCAGCTTTTTGTTCCCGAAAAGTTACGCGAACCCATATTCCTGGCTATGCACTCGAGCACCACCGCTGGCGGCCATTTCAACTGGCAGAAAACGTTAGCTAAGATCTCTCGTAAATATTTTTGGCCGCACATGTCCGAACAGATTTATGCTCTTACTAAGTCTTGTGATCTGTGTCAAAGAAAACGAGCGCAGGCCCTCAACCAAGAGCAATTGTTGCCCGTAGTACCATCGGCCATTTTCGACAAAGTTTATATGGATTTGACGGGCCCGCTAACAACGTCGGAATCAGGCAACAAATATGTGCTAGCCTTGATAGATCATTTTTCTAAGTACGTTATCGTGGCGCCTTTGCCTGACTGCACGGCAGTTACAGTAGCGCATGCTATTCTAACCGAGTGTATACTTAAGTACGGCGTAATGACTCAGCTCATCTCCGACAATGCCTCCTACTTTAAGGGCGAGCTGGTATCAGAAATTGGCAGACTTTTACGCATAGGTAGATATTTTGCCACCCCATACCACCATGAGGGTAACGGCGTATGCGAACGAGTGTTCGCCACATTTCATCCCATGCTGCGCACGTATATCAGTGAAAACCAAACTGATTGGGATCAATTTATCTTTGCTTGTGCCTTTATGTATAACACTTCTGTCCACTCAAGCACCAACAATACTCCATTTTTCCTTGTTTTTGGTCGTGATCCTCTATTCAACATTGATCTCCTGATTAAACATGATACCGAACGCCATACTCCTTCTGACCAAGACTCTAGTCTATATCTTGAGAACTTCGTCTCCACTTTGCATGCAGCATGGCGTATGGCAGCAAAATACAATGATATTCAACGTGCTAGATTTAAGGCCCAGTATGACAAGTCGCATTTACAACCGCTGTCTATCAAAGTAGGAGATAGAGTCTATTTGCGTGATTTTGCCCCCAAGCCCGGACTGTCCTCCAAACTCTCACTTCCTTGGCTGGGCCAGTTTCGTGTCCTGGAAATAGATCATCCGCACCTGGTGATCCTCAGTATCACTTCTCCACAATCGAAACCCAAACGCGTGCACATGAATCAAGTCAAGAAATGTTTTGAGTTAAATGGACCCGCATTTACAACTCCTTGGCAACCCGAATCCGAGCAATTAGCGCTAACGCATCATCAAGCGACAGATTATGAGCTTGTTGGCTATTCTCATAACAATCCAACTGAACAACCATCTACAATAGCGCAATCACCTTCTCACCCATATAATACTCGTTTTCGCTCACGACGCACCTCCATTTAGCTCAGTGCTCCTAAAAAACGTTAAAACATCAATCCATACCATATTCCACCTTCCTTGTGTGCATTGTGTTTGCTCTGTTATACTATCTTTAAACTTTTTCGCGTGTTTTGGCATTCTCATTCACCTTTTGTCACTTTTCGTTCTCACTTGTACGTAAACCGTCGGTCGTTTCCTCGTCGCATTCATATATACCGACATTATACAATTTCTCCGCTGTTTCAGAAACTTGGTGAAAAGCCCGCACTTGTCTAATGCTTAATTCTGACGAGGGGACTTCTCGCCCCCATGCTAGCCCCGTCGGGCCTCTGCCAGTGAATGCGCCTACGCCTTGCCCTAGCCCTGTTGGGCCTCAGCCAGTGGAAACCGCAGTTGCTGCGTCCGATGAGCCGATGGAGCGCGGATCATCCATCCTCTCCGAATCTATTGACGCAGTTTCCGACCAGTCCATATCCCTCGCTCGGATGTCTCTCGAAGAGCCAAGCAATGTTCCTGAAGTTATGGACGTTACACCCGCATCGGCACGAATGCAGCCTTCCACTGCTTCGCAGTCCTCCTCCGGCGTCTCTAGGAGGGACTCTGATACGCCTCAGGCCTCTCCACCAGCGGACCCTGCTTCACATCCCAACGTCGGGGATCACAAGGAATGGCTTGAGGATCGCCTTGATCGGTTTGACAACTATGTTCGTGATCCCAGATCAGCAAAGAAGCGGATGGCTCAGCTTTTTCAAGCTGCTTGCTCAGCGATCGCGGCACTTGAATCAGACAGCGACGAGCCTTGATGCAACACGCACTTTTGCTTCGGACGACGAGCTTCCCCGATGGACAGACCCCGTTTCTATTCTTAGACGTGGCCGGAAATTCGGAGAGGGCCGCGAGTCGCTCCTACTTCAATGAGGCGGAGGCCGAAGTGTGCAGAACGATAGTCCAACGCTTACGAGCCCGATATATCGAACCTTCATCGATATGCATCTTGTCGTTCTACAAGGAGCAATTGCGCAGGCTGTTGCCGTTCGCCCAGAGAAATCAAGTGGAGCTAGCCACCGTCGACTCCATTCAAGGACGTGAAAAAGACGTCGTCATCTTACTGACAACTCGCACGGATATGACAGCCACCTCTGCCGAATTCCTGGACGAGTACAAGCGATTGAACGTTGCTCTAACCCGGTCCCGCCACGGTTTGTTAGTCCTTGGGCATACCGAGTCCCTTTGGAAAGTTAGGTCCTGGACCACCATCCTTCGTTGGGCTGACGAGCGCCATGCGATCATCCCTGCCACGGATCTCGGTCAGTACCTTCCAGTCGAATGATCTCAAGCAGCTATTCTGGTGAGAATATTTGAGCTTTTTCCTGTTTTTGGTTCGCTTTATCTTTGGTTTACTTTGCTTTTGCTTCCATCTCCCGTTTTCCACCCAATTCGTCCTCCTCAGACTCTGTCAATCCCTAAAATTAAGTCCGAGGACGGACTTGTTGGTAAAAGGGGGAGGTGTAAGCATGTCTACGCATGCTTCTTCGTTGGATGATGACTCATATGTTTAGGGGCGTGACGACGATGGTCAAGCGATGCTCTCGAGGAGTTGCTCCGATGCCCGGTCGCCGAGTGGACGTTTGCATCACCTCTCCTCGTAACCTCTTTGGGCCGCCGCCGTACCACCAGTGCTCATGCTGATCTCTACTATATGATCTCCTTATTCTTTGTGCCTATTGTTCATATCCCGATATTGCTCATTTACCATTGATCTTGCTCATTAATGATACTCATATATCGTTATCGCTATAACAGATAAATCATATAAGTTCGGATCAGTGTTTCTACCGGTATGTCAGCACGTTTCCGCGGCGCTACGCTTACTAGAGACATCAGAGAAATTCGGGCACTTTTAGGGGCTTTTGAGCGAAATCTGGAGGAGACGTTAGATTTTTTGAATAAAGCCAAGAGCTTTGATAGAAAATAACTCAGAAAGCCGGAAAAATAACCAAGCCATTTCCTGCGTCAAAAACATCGTGCGCGAACGCATAAGGCCCTGGCCAGACTTCGCTCAAAAGCGCCCAAAAGCGCTCAAAAGCGCGCAAAAGCGCCCAAACTTCTCTAACCTCTCCTCACTCTTTCTCATCTCTCCTCACACGAGAAAGTGAAGAGACACCAAAGAAATTTGGGCGCTTTTGCGCGCTTTTGGGCGCTTTTGGGCGCTTTTGTGCGAAGTCTGGCCAGGGCCTAACCTCGAATGAAAAAATGTGCCAAATTCTTACCCTAACGTAGTCTGCCACATTAGGTGGTGACATTCGCTCGGGTCCAGTCTCCGCAATGTCGCGACTTACGGTGAATGCTGCTTCAAAGGCTTCTACGAGGTTCACCAAGCGGTCGGAACTCAGCTAAAGCAAGCAATCGAAACTGCATAACATGGTTAGATCTCATTTTCAGGCTCACCACAAAGAAACTTTACTTGAAGAACTTACAGGAAGCAAACCAAACTGGTCGAACTTCTTCTTCGGTTCTTCTTCCCGGACATTCAGTGGTGTATAGAGAGGTATCAAGGCACCAAGGGCAGAAACCAGTTCTGCTTGAGGATATCGAGGGTGTGGCACAGTGACTAGCAACGGGGATTTGAGTCCAGCGGAAAGCGCTCTGTAAAAGATGGTATAAGAGCCTTACACTATAATTTAGCATATAAACAGCTCATTTGAATATCAATAACCTTCGGATGTAATTATCAATGAATCTTGGAATCAAATCTGATTCCGGAACGTTCATTTTTTTTCTGTAACACAAAGTACTTTCTCCTAAATCTGGAATCAAAAGGCAAAAGATAAAAAGAAGAAATGACTGTATCTGTAAAAAACATGTCCGCAATGGCAATCAATTTCTGTGTAAAACGATTCGCCTATATCATTGACAGATGTTTGTGAGGATACTGCTTCGAAATCCATTTTGGAAGTCAAAGCTCAACTACTAAGAGGCTTCACACTACTAGCCATCATTACTACTAGAGTTGTTGAAAAACCTCCCCGTTTTGCTTCACTATGGAGCGGAAACAAAGTTTTTTTTCCTCATACCCAATTTTCAATCTACAGAAATCAAGAGCTGTTACTCATTGATAACACGAATATTTCGCCACTCTGATCAAACCCATGCTCAAATAAATGAAGCAAGACTCCATAATAAGCAGAATAAACTGTGCAATTTCCACACTTTCACTTATTACCCGATACATGCGAAACCTGATGGCCCTTCAGACTACCATTCCAGACTTTACAACCTCAGCGCCCAGATAGTAAAGCTTATCACGAAAAATGTCAGCTTGCTGTAGTGAACGGATTTGCAAACACGTCAGAGGTGTGATAGCAACACGCCAATCTTATCAGAACTTATATTTACATTAACGCCATCAATCACTCCGAAACTGCAATCAAATGTGTTGCGCGGAAGATAAGCAAGATTTACGTCGTGATTGTTTGGACCGCAATATAATAGAACTGCGCCATATACTAACACCTGTACTGTAGGTCCCGAACACGTCTGTATAGATCCAAAAATACAACGCACTTTACTTTCGTAGTACAAGGGCAAAGACCGATGACGCAATGTACTGATAGTTGTATCACTTGAAAACAGAAGCACTCTGGAACCAGATGACAGAAAAAGTGACAAGATAAATCCAAAAAAACGATCCGCAGAGGATTAACATTCTTCAGATTACTGTTACGAACACGATAACCATCGGGCAAACGTGACAGAATTCCTTCCATGAAAACAGTCAAAGAAAATAGAAGGTGAGGCTCCTTCCTCCATAATCAAGTGTACCAAATTTCAAGAGATACTGTTCATTGCTTAGGCCAAATATATCTCAACTAACAAAACTGTGATTCTTAGGGCTCAGTACATGAAGGAAAAATGATTTACATGATTGAATCTGTCGCAAGTTTCCAAAAGTGTAGTCACGATCTTTTTACTCCATGAATTAAAACTAATGGGCCATAACGCTAGTAATACTTTCCCCTGTGGAAACTCTGAGCATTGCTATTGCACAAGATTTGATTTCAAGGCTACGCACGGTGTTTCGCAATTTGTCAGAGTGATCAACATCATCTCGTCAATACCGAAAATCAGGCACAAACTAGACAACACTAGACTGTGCCAAATGATGAGCTGGGTCTCTTGAGATGACCGGGAGTTCTAATCCCCCTGCCTTGGATAAAAGCTTGAAATGTGTTAAAATACGTAGCTCAAATATCAGGAGATAGGAACAGCGAGCGTTAAATCAAAATAATGATCTGCTAGAATTAAAGTTGCTGATAGATACCTACAATTTTACTCCATTTTTTGCTGCTGTCTGGAAACGGCGGACATCATCGAAATCCCTTGTCACGGGTCCTGAAAACAAGAAACCAGTAATTTATAATCTAAAACCCCACAGTGTACCGACAAGTCTATGTACAAGTTCGACTAATATGCAAGAGCTATCCCGTAGTCTACTCACATTTCCAGTAAAAGTGAATAAGTATTCGTACCTGTACCAGCAAGTATGAGGCGACCGGATGGGATTACCCTCTTGTCAACTGGGACTATGTTGGACGACGAAAGCGCACCTCGATGGACCTAAGCAAAACTTTCTGTGAAGTGCAGCATCTCTCACAAAGATATCCACCTCGATAAAATCCAGGACCGCTTCTGAGACTCCCTTCAGCATTGGAGTTTCGGCCACAAGTTTTGCGCAATTCGTCACCAAGATGACGCCATCGTATGCTGCATCGCTGAGCGATACAGCTCGCAGCAGTCTGGTGGACATCAGCGACTCCAGAGACATTGAAGTCTGCAACACGAAATTACAACTCGGAAGAAGTAATTATGAAAACAAATTCAAGGCGGAAAAACTCAAAAACGTCGAACAGGCTCTACAAAAACTTCAGTTGACAGAGGAAGTGCTCGCATTTGCTGTTGAGACGACTACGGGAACGGCCATAGGTTGTCGGTGTTGTTGGTGTTGTCGATGTTGTCGGTGTTGTCGGTGTTGTCGATGTTGTCGGTGTTGTCGGGGTTGTCGGGGTCAGAGACAGTTTAGAGAGCGCGCGAAACGTGGAGGCTATCATGAGGTCCTACAACGACCGGCAGCCTCGGCAACACCGACAACATCGACAACACCGACAACATCGACAACCTATGGCCGTTCCCTACGAGTTCGTGCCAGTCAGCCCATTTCTTACTCTATTCCCTTTCTTTTACAGCTTCCTACTGATTTCCGCTGCTTCTTAAGCAATGAAAGCAGTGGAAGGGAAATTTAAAAATGCTATTCCTTTCAAGCTTAGGCTGAATACATACTGATCCGTAAGTTCCGGAACAGTTCCAGCACAGCGCTCAAATTGTGCGCTGTGCTGGAACTGTCCCAAACTTACAGATCAGTATGAACCCTTTACCATTGATCACCTATCCGTTGCGCGATCAGGCAGAAAGTTGTCGCCAAGTATGAACGCAATTATCGCGCGACGAGGCGGGAAGTGTGCAGTTTAGTATGGACGCAACAATAGGAACAAATTCAGCTGTAGCACATAAAGTGCATATATGTATGTGAGAGAGATTCGAAGGAAACATTCAATGAAGCTTTCAATGTTTCAATAAGTAGCAAACACATTAACGGAGAAAAAGAAGAGACTTAGCAAACATGCGATGAGATCGCTACTTTCAAATTTAATATCAATATCACATTCTACACTCGGCTGGTCTCGGGCTCAAAAGTGGACCGGTGGAATCTAGACACGTTTTCTCTAAGTCTATGAACCGTTTGATTTGATGCGAATGAGAGACTGAAACTGAAATGAGAGAATAAAAACTGAAAGCGATGCGATATTGAAGAGAAACAACAATCATAACATCAATGAATCATTCGATGAGAGAGCGGAACCCAGTGAAATGAGATCGTGTGATGAATAGAGTTGAATCGACAGCCTATCAACGCAGAGGCAATCAAAAGAAATGAAGGGCTGATATCTGCAGAAAACAGTAAATCATCAGAACAGAGTGTCACGAAAAAACATGTGGGTGTGCTGACGATTGGTTTGTCCAAGGAATGACCGTTGACCTTGCCGCGTGTCTCTACGAACTGCACGAGAAGTTTGCACAGTGAACTGCTGATTTTACACTCCTACACAGATCCTTGTTATGACTGGAAGATAACTTCTGGAAAAAAACCCTTGGACACGCTTTCCCTAATTAAGGCCCTGCAGCAAATGGATAAAAAAAAAGAAATAGCAGCCATGCAGTTCTTTTTAGTGTTTACAGATGGAAGAAACTAATTTGAGCTTATACAGAAAATCATAATAAACAAAGCGCGGTTTATAATCCTTCATAACAATTATAGCAATATGATGCCCATAGATGCGTGAACTATAAACTAACTGATCCTAAAAGGAAGCTTGAAAAGCCAGAAAGGAAAAGGATGACAGAAAAGCTTTGATCTACTAATGTGAAGAAAACGTCTCTGATATGTACTAGCAGTGTAATCTGATTAGATAAGGGCACTTTATGCGATTCCAGAAGACTTGAAACAAATGAAAACGAGCTGCTGTCCTAGAAAAACAAACAGATAGTACGATTGCACGGTTTATTTTGAGAAATGTCAAGAGAGTAATAAAATAAAAACACTTTTATGGTCGTAGTTCGTAGTAAACACCGATAAGATAATACAAATAATGTGATAAATGCAATGCAAACATTCTGGCACCAAGAAAATTGGGATTAGAACTTACAACTCCACATTTGTGAAAGGATTCAGATTAGATGCTCCCCACCGCAAAATATCGTAAGCTACTCAGACACTGGAAGCGAGCGAGCCGCGGCCTTAAAAGGCCTTTTAGGCCCGCCCGCGGCCTTATTTTGGGGGCGCGGCGAGATCGCGGCTGACCCGCGGCCCTAATTTGAAGGCGTGGTCTGAGCACGGCCGACCCGCAGCCCTTGTTCATTGCAGCGGCCGACCCGCGGCTCTTGCTTTGCTTACTTGACCAGCGATATGCAAATTAACAAGTTCGTCATGATCTCGTAGTCATCATTGACGAAGGTAGTAGTTTCCATTCAACAAGAGCGTTGGTGCTCTTCGGTTCTTTCGCTTGGACATTTTTCGTGGACATGTTTCGTCCTCGCAACAGCACCGTTCCTGCTAGAGTCAGGCAGGTAGGAAGAATATACGAGCAAAGGTAGCACTTAAAGCACATTTTAGGAACAGTCGCAAGGACTTCGCACTCTCCCGAACCAAGAAGATTATTAACAAAACCAGTGTCATCCCTTTACGTATCAGCCGGGGCACAATTCACATGGATAAGGCCGCCAAATTGATACTGGAGTAGAAGAAACTTTCACTCTGTACGTGGTGAAACGAAGTTATTTTGATTATTAGTAACTTTGACTTTCAGAAGGGATGTACGAACATCGAAATACAAGGAGAATGACAATACGTGGAGCCCGAGTAATGTGAGTTGATACATAAACTTGGCTACTTCAGCGATTTCCAAATGTTCCAGAAACAGAAAAGGAAGACTGTGGCTGTGCCCGAGGAGGACATCGAAAGAACAAGTAATGTGAGTTCGTATATGTATATTATATTGGCTACTTCAGCGTTATCCAAATGTTTCAGGGGCAAAAAAGAAAAGCTTTGGTCGAGGCTGCCGAAGACAACATCGAGATGATAGATGACGAAACATATTATATGCGCCTTTGAGAACAATGGGAGTAGAACAGCGCAATAAGGATATCATCATTTTTTGTAGATTGTTTGATTCTCTGTTCATGATTGTGACTATTTTTTATGTATATTCTGGACACAGAAGATAAATGATTTGTCATGAATATATGATTGTTCTGTTGTCTTCATGTGCTAAAAGAAGCAGCTAAAATTTCCATTTTTGGAAGTGCTAGAACGATTTAGCAAGAGCCAATACAGCCGAGCCGCGGCCCTTTCCCGGCCGAGCCGCGGCTCATTTACGGCCGAGCCGCGGCTCATTTACGGCCGAGCCGACTGTCCATTTACGGCCGGCCCGCGGGAGCTGCGATTGCCCGGCCGGAACTGGGCCGCGGCTCGCCCGCTCCCAGTGTCTGAGTACATAGTTACACGTGTAAGCGCACTATTACGGCCGAGCGAATGGCAAAATTTTTAGATGCTAAGCTCATTTGTTCTTATTAAGTTTTCTAGGCTAAATTCAAAGTTCTCAAGATCATCAGCTCGTAAGAAATGCGAATATCTCTATCTGCGAATTTTATGGGTGCAGCAGTGGTTGTAACGAAATTTTTCTCGTTCAGTTAGGTAGATACCTCCACCCCAGCTTTGTGCAGTGCAGATAATGGAAAATTCAAGACTGGGAAGAGGTCTATATGTCGCCGAAAAAGGGCGGTCCCCACGGTCATGTGCGACAAATACGCAAACTTGTATATGCGCGGACATGCGTTCCTGCAGGGAATCCGCGCGGTACTCTTCCAAATTCGGCGACATCTCAGACACTCGCTGTTGACTCGCGCCGGAGATCCGCCCATTTTTGAGGGATTCGCGGGAAAGGGCGTAGACATGCGCGAGACAATATTTTGACAGTTTTTGCGGATGGTCGCGAAAGGAAATCGGGAGATGATAAGTGACTCAGCGAGCAGTTTCGCAATATCGACGCGCATTTCAAATCTCAGCTCATATTGCATCATTCCAGGTTTTTTTGCTACCTATATTCAATTCGTGCATTCCATCCATCCCACCTAAGCCCTCTTCTTTCCATTATTTCATTCCAATCCAAAATTAACTTTATTTGAAATCCAATTTTGAAACTTATTCTCTAAAAATCGAAGCTCGACTATCTCCGTGATTGTGGGATTGTGGAATTTGAGTTCAAATTACATTGGTTTAGGAACCAGCTGAGGCATTCAAGGTATTTCAAGGCATGATGATGGAGATGGAGACGTAGATGGGAGATGTACGGGCTTATATACTGAATCCGGTAAGAGCTAAACTCCTTCCTCCAAAGGTAAGATGTCAGTGCACTTATTCCCAGTCTTCGTCGACATGACTTTCGTTTCAGAAGAAGCGTGTGATCGAGACTACGGCAAGCAGCTCTTCTGCTGTCAAGGAAATAGAAAAGACCAGCCCCGACGAGTTTTAGCCGATCTGCTGCTACTTTTTTCTAATTTGCTGTACTTTCATATCACTATCATACCATTTGCCTTAACTCTACTCCCGCTTTTGCGTATCAGTTAATTGCATTCCGAGATTCTCATTCTCAGATAATCGCCGGGGGCAGGCGGTCCGCAAACTCGCGCTTTTCTGCAGGCGGTCAGCAGAATTTTGGGGCGTGGCCAAACCTTCAGCGGGCGGCACTTCCATATTCTGCCAGCGGGCAGCAATACAGCATTTTTTGCAAGCGCTCGGCAAATAATTTCTTTCAGCGAGCGCTGCCCAAACTTTCAGCAAGCGCTCGTACTCTTTTTAGGCATTTTCGGGCGTACGTCGAGCGCAGGTAAGACTCTGTGTGGCAGAGGTGTCACCGTTGGTTTAATTACTCAAGTTTGAGGTACTTTCTCTCAGCGGAAAGTACCTGGGGGTTGCGCGGTCCTCCACAAAGGACCGTGCGGCCCCCGAAATTTTTGCATATTCTCGCGGAAAGTCCGCGAGAATGCGGCCAATGCGCCGCAGCTAATCCATAAAGAAACCGCGATTGTTCTTCAAGCATTCGTCTTTAATTTCGCCAACTTTCTTCCAAATTTCTGCAAGCGGGCCGCAAAAAATCAACGAACTATTTTTCCGGTGCGCGCTTGCTCAAAATTCGCATGGCCGCCTGCCCCCGGCGGTTATCTGAGTTGTTCAGAAGATTCCAGGCACACTTCTATCTCATCATGTATCTCCATATCGTGAAGCTTTAAGATAGAAAACATAGTAGTTTGACTCCCCCGAAGTTCTTATTTGATTTTCTTGCGTGGCTACATTGAACATAACTCTAACTCTAACTCATAACTCTAACATAACTACTTCAATCTTAGGAACATTGAATTGTTCCTAAGATTGAAGTAAATTCACTACGTGCTAATGAAGTTTCCAATTAATCCTTATGTCATTTTAGAAGTAATAAATTGGTTAGTTTAGACTTTGTAGAATTCATATTACGTGTACATATATACATATATATTTATGTACACTTATATATACATATACCCTCGACGTCAATCCCTAAGTTACATTTGCAAAGTGGAGTGGTGTGGTGCAGCCGCCTCGCTTTGCGCTCGCGCCACGTTGTTGGGGCATCGTTTAGACGTGATGTGGCGCTAAAAACAACGTGGCGCCACAACATGTTCAAACGTGGCAACAAGAACAACGTTTCTTCGTTGCTCCTGTTGCCACGCCATGCCAACTCATGCGCTCGCAAGGTGGCGCGAGCTCAAAGCGAGGCGGCCGCACCACAACACTCCACTTTGCAAATGTAACTTAGGGATTGACGTCGAGGGTATATATCAGTGGCGTACCCAGGATTTTGGCTCGGGGGGGGGGGGGGGGCGACAAAAATTTTGTTCTAATGAAGGTGCGTGGCGTCAGCCACGCACTCTGAAAATTTTTTGGGATGCTTCCCAAAATTTTTCCGGGCCCCTAACCCCAAAATTTCAGAAAAAGGGGGCGTGGCGGCAGCCACGCCCCCGAAAAATTTTTTTTATAAGGCTAATTTGAATTTTTAAAAATTTTTAAAAATTATTTTAATTATTTACAAATAAAAACGAGTCTTCTGGCATTTTTTATAACACATTTAAGTAACTTTCAAAAATTTCGCGACCCATTCTCGGGGGGAGGGGGGGCGCGCGCCCCCCTTCGGTACGCCACTGATATATATATACATATATGTACATTTATATATATGTATATATAATGTATATTTATACATACACATGTAAGTATATACATATATGTAATGTACAGCAAGTAGGGATATAGCGAAATTACTAGTGCGAGATAACGCGCTCCAGTTGCGTCCGGACATCAGGATGTGTCGCCCTCGAGCTGCCGCGTATTTCCTGCAAGATGCGGGTCGCATCAAAGCGTGGTCTCGGGCAGCATTGTTCCGACAAATAATGCTGTCTCGGGATTTCGTTTTCGAAGCCGATTACTTGTGTCGCGCCTTCATTCAGCGCTTACACAAAGCTTTGGGCTGCGCGAGTCAACAGCGAGTGTCTGAGATATAGTCCTCCACTCAACGCAGCCTAAGCGCGAACCCGCACGCACCGAATGTCGGGACCCGACCAGACTTCGCTCAAAAGCGCTCAAAAGCCCCTAACCCCCAAATTTCTCTGACGTCTCTTCACTTTCTCGTGCGAGGAGAGAGAGAGAGTCGAAGTGAAGAGAGGCCAGAAAAATCTGAGCGCTTTTGGGCGCTTTTGGGCGCTTTTGAGCACTTCTAGGCGTTTTCGAGCGCTTTTGGGTGCTTTCGGGTGTTTTTGGGCCTTTGGGGCCTTTGAGCGAAGTCTGGACGGGGGCCTCGGAGCAGAAAAGAAAGCCGGCGCTGGATTGGAGCGGACGCTCGCTCGGCATCCGGCGTTGCGTAGGGAAGATGAGGAGGGACAGACAGGTCCCAACACGACTATCTGTAACCTAGACGTACGCAAAACCAGGGCGGTGCGAGACGGACGGTCATCATGTCATTTGGCTTGATCCGGACTGGGACAGCATGTATATCGTTTGAAAGCACCGTGCACCCAAATTGAAGGTGATGCTGTAGTTTAGGGGCCTCTGATCTAGAAACAATTGCCTAGGTGCTGCTGCAAGAGACGAAGCTCAAGCGAGAAAACTATCTAGAAAACTAGAAGCGGCAAGGTAGTCCGCCCATTAATGTCTGAAGATCATACATCCAAACTGGAACAAGGGGAGACGAAAAGTCGGAAATCTGATAATAATAATGAAGGGCTGATTTATGACAATAAAAAACTCAATGGATGATTGCTTGCGGTAAGGCCCGTGCTTCTATGCATGATTGCTTGTGGTAAGGCCCGTGCTTCTATGCACTTATTAGGCCTTATGCCCACCCTTTGGTAATCCGGCCCATAAAGTCCCACAAGTGGTGCAGAGGGTCACCAAGCAATGGAAGTCAGTAGGGTCGACGTGAAGAGAACAGCGGGTCGTCCTCGCTCCGTCAACGCTCGTGACTGTGAACCATTATCAAGAAACGAATTACAGATATAGAGGTAGTTTGAATTCTACTGCAGAAAGCCATTTCTCGTCAGACTTTTCAAAGTAATGCCATGTTATGAGTCTCGCAGATCGTTCACTCCGGGGCAGTTTTCACAGATGATGTGGAGGAGAAGCTAAGAATTTGCAGAAGAAAGTTACACACCTCCAAAGACGTCAGATTTTTTTGATGAGAAGATTTTTGTCATCGAAACGGCACACAACAATCAAAATGCACGGCAGCTGATGGTCAAGGTCAGAAGAACGCGAGAAGGAAGAGAATTGTTACGCGAACGCTTTTTCTGAAGGATTGATGGTTCGGGCGGGAGTAAGCGCCTCTGAGCAGACGCCTCCAATTTTTATCATACATATGTGAAGATAAACGCGAAGAGGTATGAGGAAGAGATGCTGGCAAAAGTTGTGTTGTGGAAGCGAAAAGACGCGAAAAGGATGCTCCAGCAAGAGAATATGCTTCTGCCCGTGCAGCGAAAACGATCATTGCCTTCTCTAGGGTTTACCTGCCTGGGTTCCTGAAGGAA